TATACTATTATATATGTAATATAAATGTAACATTGACTTATTAAATGCTATGTAATATATAATAAATACATGTCTTAAATATATTATGTATTACATATTAATGTCAGCACAAATATCGTCAGGTGTTTAGAGTAGGGGTATTAGCGAAATCTGTTTCCAATTTCACTCTCTTTTTATATGATTGAGTCCTAAGGAAAAGGGTTTTAGATTTCAAAAATGGAAAAACTATTTCATTGAGCTTGTTGGCATATCGGGGCACAGTCAGTACTGCTCCAATGCCGCATAACGGAAGGGGTAAGTTGCCGATTCCGTGCTCTATCATGCTTTGCCACACAGCTGACACAGTAGAAGAGCCTGGGGTGGGGCACTGCTGGAGAACTGCGCAGCTTGGGAGAGAAGTAGGAGGAAGCAAGTGCTCCACAGAGAGTGTCGAAAGTAGCGTCATCTTGGCAGGACCCAGAAGATGGTGGTGAAGCAGCCACAGTACCAATCTGTGAGAGCCGTATGTGTCAATACGTGGGCCTATGTGGTGCCTCGGGAGCAAAAGTGCAAGACAGGCAGAACCCATCAGGACACATTATATGTGATAGAAATCAAGGGGTGGTGGAAGCTGTTCTACTTCAGCAGGGGTGAGGGAGCTGCGTGGCCCAGGTGAGCATGGTGTGGTACTAGAATGGTATGAAGACCAAGAGGATAAAGCCCATGAGACTGCCAGAAATATCTGAGGAGAAATTTCTTGAAGATGGAGACTGTGAATGAGGAGGTGGGTCCCAGAACTAGGGCATCTGGTTGACTCTTTTTGGGTAATTTATGGAATTATTTAATAGAAATTAACACTATGACTATAACCCTGTAGTGTCAAGTAAGTAAGAAGCAGTCAGAATTTCACTCTTGTCTTGACATAATACTTGAAATCATTACAACTTTTTAGATAATGATATTTCTGTAATTCTTTCATGCATTTATTGAGGGTACATTTGAAGAGTGCCAGTTTATAGTTCTTGTAGGTTTAATTTGACTGTTTTGATATGGTGGTCGCCACACCTAAACATCTGCGTCATCCAGTTTGCTTGTTCCAGCTGTGACCTTACTGTGCCCTTGTCTGAGACCTACTGAGTGTGAGCTTCTTTTTCTTCAAGGTTCCTTGTCAGGGATTGAGGATGGAGAAACACTGCTTCTTTTTCTTAGTTAGTAAGAAATGTGATTCCTTGCTGAGAGAGTGGTAAACAGGAGTGAAGTAAAAGTCCAGCAAAGAGTGGTTAAATTTTAAATGTGGAAGAATCCTTTGTATATACATGAGGACATAGCTGAGCAGCCCTGGTATCCAACTAAGACTATTGACTTTAAAAGTACTGTACAGCAATCCTTGGTGGTTATCTGTGGAGGGTCCCCGGGACTCATGTGTGTTCATTAAGAGTGTGATGTAGTCCCCACATGGCAAATGTAAGCCCTGATGTCAAACACGATATAGAAAAGCACGCAGTAAATTACTAAAAGCCTGGCTGGAGATGGAAAATAAGCATGCATAAACGACATTAATAACGACACAATTAAATTGTTAGATAAATTTGTGATAATATGTAGGCTTGAAACTAAGAAACAAGTCATTAACGTAGTTGATAAAAGTTAACTAATGCCTTGAAAAATACATCTGAATTAGTAAAACTATGCTATAAAAATCAAGAAAAGATATCGTCCCACAAATTAAACATTTTTACAGCTCTTTGGTACAGTGCTACTTCAGCTATTGTGAAGAAAACACAGTGGTCCTGAGAGGGATTAGTGTAACCAGTCAAGGCCAAGACGGTTCTGGCTTGAGCATAGAGTGGCAAAAAGACCTAAAATGGGGGGAATTTTCAGAGGCGCTACATTATAATGCTCGATATTATAATGCCAAAGTCTGTTATTTGTTTGCGTACAAAAGATCAAAGTGCCATGCGTATGAGTCACCTAGAAAAATATTTATTCAGTTTTAAGAATTCCGTAAGAGGATTATATTTAGGGAGCATGGGAAGAATAACCTATAATTGAAGAAATCCTAACAACAGTGGCTGTAAGACACTTAAGCACCCTTCGTGTGTCTGCCTTTGTGTGTGTGTGTTTTTTTTGCTTATTTCATTTTGTTATTTTTTTCTCTTGTTTGACTTTAATTAATACATATTTGGAGAACATAATGATTACCCTTACCTTAGAGGATTGGTACACGTACATAACACATTTAACACATTTCAATTCCTATCTTTCCCCCATTCCCTTCATCCCCCCCTTTCATTTTTCAGCATCAGATTCATTCATTTATCTTACACAGCCTTATAAATATATATTGAAAACCAGACTAATAGGCCAAAGAACACACAGAATGTGTAAGACAGTTGTACTAAGTCTTTGGTTTCAATTTTTTAAATCACTTCCAAGAAGATGAGGCCTGTGTTGTGCTTACATTGCTCGCACATATCTGAATTATTTAGCCTTTTTAGTGGTGCCCCCGAGAGGCTTATAGTGCGGGGTGAACTGCTGCATGAGGACAAACTTCTGTGTTTACAGAGAGCTTTAGAAACGTGTTTCAATTTGCCCAGCAATCATCCTGAGCAGTGATATGTATGTCAAAAGTGGTATTGAAGAAATTATGTATAGTAAGTTGAAATATACAATTGGGTTATTTGAAATGGGTTATTTGAGAAGAATAACAGACTCTCCTTTAGCAAATAGGAGAGATGTTGGAATAATACCTCCGTTAGAGGAGGGGAGGGAGAGTAGGGAGACCTTGAACCGATTGGGCTAAGGAAGGCATGCAGGGGGCAATATGAGGACTTACAAAGCACTTGCCAGACAGGAAGCCATGTGAAGGTCATCAGCGGTTTCCTGTTTACCTTGAGGCCGACTCTGGGCAACAGTCGCCTACACAAGGTAATGTGCAAGGCAATGATAGTATACAAACAAAAACTGTTCACGGACAGAATTGTGCACAGACAAAAACTGTGCAAGGAAAAGAGAACAAGGGGAGAAAGTGAAAGGGAAAAAAGGGAAGGGAAGGTGGCACTGAAAACTCACTGCAGAAGGGGCTAGGAAGGGGACCAGCACAGTGTCTAGATGTCTAACCAGACCTGTGTTGCTTTTATCCATTGCTTCTGTGGTTTTGTATCAGATAAAGTGTTTGAACCAAATTTTCACGAGTGTGAAAAAAAATCCCTATATTTAAACACTAATAATGCTCAACAAGACATTTGTGAAGAAATATGACTGCAGAGTCAAAACTATTGCTATAAAGAAAAATAATCTAATGTGTATATCTGTTCCAGACACAGCTCAGGTCATGTGCTCTTTGATGGGAATCACAGTTCCTGCTGCACTATTTAAGTTGGTACTTATTTATTGTTTTTAAGGGAGCCTAGCACATTGTTAATGCCTCAAAAATGCATTTATTTTGCAATGTTACAGTACAGTAAAATTGTACTTATACTGTTTTTAAAGATTCTTTCCAAATCATATCTCTTAGCAGACATTTTATGTTTCTATGTTTATGCAATATCTGTGAAAATAATGCCTACAAAATGTTATTCAGATTTAATTAATTTATATACAGTGTTCACAAGGAATCAGTGTGCTATGCTTTAATATACAGGACTTTCATTACCCTGATATTATTGCTGGGAAACAGGCCTTTAAAAAAATATTTTGGGCTGGGGTATAGTTCAGTATAGAACACATGCTTAGATGGTACACAGTCCTTGGTTCAATCTCCAGCACTGAAAAAAAAAAGGGAAAATATTTAGATTCACAGAAAGTTCCAAAGGACAGCAGAATTATATATTCTTTAGTTTTCCTCAGTATTTACATCTTATGTAACTGTAGCAGAATATGAAAGTTAGAAAGTTGACATTGATTCAAGACAGTTCTGTGACTTTTTATATGTATATATTTGTGTTCCCACCACTCCACTGCTACCTTTAGGACACAGAACTTGTCTAGTACCATAAAGATCACCCTTGTGCTACCTCTACATAGTCACAAAAAGGTCCTAAACACTATCTGTTGTACATCTTTGAAATTCTGTAATTTCTAGAATGTGATATAAGTGATATCAGAATATGTAAACTTTTGAGATTAGAATTTTGTGATCATTATAATGCCCAACAGTTGTTGGAAGTGGTAGCCAGGAGTTGTTGCATTTATCAATGTTGTGTCATTATTACTAAGTAGTATCCCATAGATTCCCATTCACCTTTTGGGGAACATGTACTTGTTTCTGGTTTTTGGCTATTACAAATAAAGCTGCTATGAACATTTCTGCACATGTTTTTGTGACGTAGCTTTGGATAAACAGATCAGAGAGACTGAGGAGATAAATTCTCCCCAGTAACACTGCTACTCAGCCACTGAATTAGTATCCAAACCCAGATGTTTCTATCCTATCTCTTATGCTCTCTCCTCTATATCACATTAATTGAGAACAATGTTTGGAAGATGCTGTAGAAAAGTAAAGTAATGACTATATTTCTTAATCAACTATTAGTTCCAGGATAATGTATGCCCAATACCGTTATTCTTTTAACATTCTAAGTGCACATCACTCATGCACCAGTCACGCAACCTAATATTCAAGTACCTATGAGGTGCTAACCCCTGTGCCACTGTTGAAGCACCAAAACTGACATTAGTGCTGATCCACAAAGCACTGTATTTGTGATATAGAGATAGTTTGGTCTGTATTAATTGGCTTTAACGGTTTTACATTTTAGTTAAAAAACGTTTGTTCAGAGTTCATGTGAACTTCATAATATTATTTAAATGTGTTTTTTTCAAACTTGTTTAAAATTATGATTAAAGATTTAGTTATAATTCTTTGCCTTCAAAGCATGCAAATTCAAGTTCTAATTTTGCAAGGTATGAATTCAGTGCTTCTTCCAAATAGGGAAGAGGTTCAGTTGAATATTTGTTTGCAAAAATGTTTACCAATATATAATTTCTTCTGCTTATTCTATGTCTCTTTCCTTGGATAGCATGAAAAATTGATCAACCGTCCACGGAGTACCAAAAGAATTTCTACAGATCCTGTAGGTATGGAATACTTTCTCTATCTTCATTATATAGTACTTTTCTCCTTCTTATATTCTATGTATTTTCCTTAGTCACTTTTCTATTGCTGGGACAAAATGCCCAACACTCACAATTTAAAGGAGAGACCTATTTTGGCTTAGGGTTTTGATTCATGGTCTGCAGGCTCCAAGGCAGAAACAGTATGGTGCAACGGCCTGGCAGAGGAGAAAAAGATGCTCCACGCATGGCAGTCAGGAAATCAGGAAGGAGAGAGAAGAGAAGAACATGGGACAAAAACACAACTTTGCAGGTCATGTGCCCTGTGACCCACCTCCAAGCAGGTCCCACCTACTGACAGGACATTCAGCTGCTGAACTTGTCGGTGGGTGAATCCACTGGAAAATACAGTGCCCCCATGATCCAATCACCTTTGGCAGAGATGAGAATTCTGTAGGACACTTTAGATCTAAACTAAAAATGACGTATGAACACTTTTGTGGGAAAGAACGAAGAAAGTGATTTTTCAATCAGTTGCTAAGCTTCTAAGTCCAATAAGGTGGAGTTTCCTAGAAAGTCATGCACATATAAACCAAAATAGCATTCTGAAATATGCATATAATTAAACTGGCTTTGAAATCATATGAAACATAAGCCCTATAAAGTATTATTTTATTAAGATAACAAGTAAGTTTCCTGAGTTTGATAAAAAACTGACGAGAGTGTGTACTGAAATGTTGACTATTTAGTTGAAAATCTTTAAAGGGGTTCAGTTCAAACCAACATTCAAGGTCAACAGATTTGAAATAGAAGTACATATTTATATGAGCCCACAAAGAAATATTTACTACTTATTATGGTTGCACACAATTGGTAAGGTTCTACATAAGTAAGTATGTAATTACAAAATAATGGTAAAGTTTTCAGAGTAGAATTTAATGCTTTTATTCTATCTTAGGCTTTAAAATTATTTAGTAATATTAATAGCTCCTAATGAAATATCTTATTAATCTTTAAAAGAGATCAGAGAATGGTTTCTGACTATTTTTATCATCACTTCCATGGATGGCATAGTATCCTAACCAGAGATTACCCTTAGAGATTTGTGCAGAAAATGTACAGGGTATACTAAACTACATTAGGAGTAGGAAAGGATTAAACTATAATGTTATATAGTCTGTAAGGGAAAATAAAACTGTTTTAAAAGAGAGAGCAGGTGATGTAGAAAAATAGTAATAAAACCAGTAGGTGAGAGATCAGTAAGTTTGTTAATAATATTAACTTTTGAAAATTTGATACTCAAATAAAGGCAGAATATTTGCCCTTGTCAATAATCAGAGAGTACAAGAGTATAATGATCCTTCCTTTTTGTACAAGAAAGTCAAAGCTGCTATAGAAAGAAGATAGTAGATACAGTTTGAAATTGTAATAGAATGAAACTTTTAAAAGCTTTAAAGATCATGTTTAGAAGTTTAAATAACATAAAGACCTTGCTAGAGATTTATTAATGGGGTACTCACAAGATCAGATTAGACCCAAAACTTCCATTAGTTGTGCTGGAGACCCAAGTGGGTCACAACTGATAATGGGAATATGAGGTAGCATCCTGGATTCTGCAATAGAGATTCATAGGACTTTATGGTAGAAGGCGTTCTGTCGCAGTATTAAAACAACTGAGGTGGTCAGCTTAATGAGAGGAAAGGCTTATTTGGTCTCACAGTTGTAGAGCTTTCAGTTTATGGTCGCTTGGCTCTGTTGATTTGGGATTTTAGCAGCACAATACATCCTAGTAAGAGTGTATGGCTCCCTGTTTTCTCCTTGCCTCATCTTCACTTCAAAATCATTGTCTTACAAAGTCTCCCTTGGAGACTCCCATGTTTTCTGGAGTTCATTTCAGATGTTGTTCACTTTGTATATCTGGGAAACAAAGAAAGAAACAGAAAGAGGCCAGAGTCCCCATATCCACTTCAAGGACATTCCCGCAATGACCTAAGCCACTCTCATTGGAACCCACCCCCTAAATGTTCCGCTACTTCCCAGTAGTTCCATGGGATGAGGACCAATTTTTCAAAACATGGGCCTTTAGGAGACAATCAAGCTCCAAATACAGCAGGCATAATTAAGAGTAAGTGAACTAAACTAGAAAGTTGAAAAAAAATACTTGAGATGTTTAGCATTGGGACCATTAGAACTTAAGTACAGAGGATAAGAAACAGGCTTTCAAAATAAAAAGGAACTGGGTTTTCAGAAGTGTGAATAATAGCGCATTTTAGCTTACTCAGATGAGTGATTACATTGACTAAGAGAGTGAGTACAGTGAAAGCAAATGAGATGGAGAGAAGGAAAGGCTCGAGGTGAGGCAGTGATGTGAATGTTAGAAATATTAACTGTAGCATGCCTTGGTAGAGATGAAGAGAAAATAAACATTGTAAATACTATACCAAGATTCAGGGAGACAAATACAAAGATGAGGATGTAGTCAGTCTGGAACATCTGACTTGGAGGACATGTTGTACAAAGTAAGACGTACTGATTGAGTTCTTCAAGCAGGAAAAAACAGAAATAGATGAGGCCTGGAATAGAAAGCAGTAATTCAGTAACATCAAAAGGCAGAGAGATAGCAAAGGGCAGCTGGGGGAAGAGGGGCACAAGGAGAGCCACAGAATCTGAACCGGTAGGTGAAATTCTTAGTGGAAGTCAGAGAAATACAGGCTACCATTCATTTGCTGTAAGTGGTAATTCAGAAGTCTAATAGGATAGGAAGAAAAGTTTGATTTGTACCAGAGGGCATAGAACCTTAAAGCAAAGGTATGTGCTGTCAGTCACTAGTGGGGAATTGAAGATTCATGTTTATATTAGGTATTAGAAGATGTTTTGGTTAACAAGGGGAATACTGAGCACAGTGGCCTTGCATAGTAGCAGAAGCACGGAAAGAATTGACTGGAATATTCTTCCAAAGCATGGAAGGGACCTGCAGTGAGGAGGAGATGAAAGGACAGACATGAAGATAAACTACTCAGTGAAAAACACTGGGGAGGGACTCCAGAAAATATGGGAACTGTGTTGTAAGAAAATGATTTTTAAACTGAAAATGAGGCAAGGAGAACTCGGGGAAAATGATCTTAGGTAAAGTAAGAGAAACAGACTAAGTTAAATTGGCTAAGTTAAATAGAATGAGCATAAGATTGAGGTTTAAATGTAGGACAAAATTTTGAGTTATTGCTATGGAAAATTTTAAATTGAGTTTAGAAAAGACTTTTAGAGGATTTATAAACTGGTCCTGGCCCACAAGGTATAAGATTGCATAGTGTTTATTGGCCACATTCAGCATATTTTCATTTCAGTACAGTATTAGAAAGGCAGGACTGGTGTTGACAAATGGAGAGAAATGAAAGCCAAAGAGGAAAAAAATACTTTAAATTGGTCCTAAGACCGTCTTTGATGTGCACAACTGGTCACTGGGAGCAGTGGTGGGACAGAGGTGGGTAACTATGTTGCAAGGTAACTGAATGGTTCCAGGGTATCTGAGGAATTACCGTATTAGGAATGGGGCAGAGAGTGCACTATGAAGGAGCAAAGAAACAGAGGCCACAAAAATTTATAAAGTAAAATTTAGCGATACCATCGAGAAGCAGAGGCCACAGAGGTGGAATAAATCTGGCTGATGATAAAACATAAGAATTGGCCCTGAAAGTGAGTTTCGAGTTTGGAGTTACAAGATGGGTCATTAGCGTTGATAAGATTAAAAAATCATGTGGTCCACAGAGAAAGATTATCAGTGGGGTGACAAATAAAGGTGCTTGACAAGGGCAGGAGATAGATGCTATGGGTGGGGGGAAGAAGAACATAGATTTCAAAATAAATGCATTAAATAATGATAGCCCAATGTTCATTTGAAAGCCAGCAAGGTTATGTTAGCTTCTTTTCCTAAGTATTCTTTCCAGAAAAATAGCTTTATAATGTAAACCACAGTGCAATTTATGTACGTAGATAGATGGAAAGAGTCACTGAGTAAAAATGAACAGACAGAGAAATTTTTGTTCGAACAAAACCAGAGTAGCTGGTGCAGGGGTGAACATGCTGTTAAAAAAGTGGCTGTGCTGCCATATGGGGTTGGGGAATAAAAAGGTATAGACTGTAGAGAATAGAGCTTTTTCTGAGTGATGAGTCTCAGTTACACAATGAACAACAGCTAACTGTTATCAAATTTGCAGGTTCTCCTCTTACTCAGTGCCATTCACATAACCAAAGAGCTTTGAAAGCAGGGAGGGAATTTTATTCAATAGCTAATGAATGGGGCAAGTGGGCTCATGCTGTAAAGGAACTTTCTTCCTGAGCAGGTCTGCTACGTATGCTGCCGTGTTTTTTATGGAGAAGGAGAATGTTTCCAGGAATCAGGGTGCTTCCCTTTAGTCCCTATTTTGGGTATGGTCAGATTTGTCATGGGACCATTGGGTATATTTTTACCATTATAATGAAACTACAGTAAGACCAAGCTCATCTGGAGTGTCCAGTGGCATCCAGACCAGATCAAGTCAGCTGGAGCCACCTCCCTGGTGACCAGCAGGGTCATGTGGTTATCAGTATCCTGGTTTGATCTTTCACAAGCGAGCAGAAGAGCTGAAAGAAAAGTGGCTTGCTAGTAATTTTGGGGTTTGGTCTGGTGATATTGTGAGATTCACAGGTAGACAGGTGTCTCAGGGTAAGGGAAAGGCTGTGCTGAGCGTACAGGGCACATTCATCAGTGATGTCTGCAAGTCTAAGAAGTTCAGAAGCTTAGTGGAAATGCTCATGTAAGGGACCTTCACAGAATTGTTCTTTGGGTACTGAGTCTTTGTATGTGTGCGCGTGTGTGCGTTTGTGTGTGTGTGTGTGTGTGTGTGTGTGTGTGTGTGTGGTTGGCTGAATAAGTGAGGATTATGAAGACTTCCTAGCTGCCAGTATAATTTATACGCTACAGTAGTGCTAATAAAAGCAAGCATCTTTTTGAACCTACAAAATGTCCTCTGACACAGTGCTAGTTAGAGGATGAGTGGGGAACCCAGCAGCACCATTCCTTGGGAGTTAATTAAAAATGCCAACTTTTGCTCCTCTCTAGTCCTACTCAATGTGGCTATGTGGGCTGGGGTCTGAAATCCATTTTCTCTAGTCCTCTTGGTGCTCAGGCATACTGAAATTTGAGGCACATTTCTAACCCTCTGCAATAGTTGGCAACCCCAGAAGATGATCCCAGTGGAGGCTGTATCCAAAGTCTTTCACTGCCCACCTGGCTGGTCCATGTCTTCACCAGAGGGCAGAGAAGAGGCCAGGTGATTTCAGATACCTAGATATGGAGGGTTAGATCAGCACGCCCCCAAAACTAAGGTCCTAACCCTGGATATACCCATGTGCTCACAGAAGCCCTTTGGGATAACTTGCTTCATTGGCTGGCAGAGGAGCTCTCTGAAGAAGGCACGGAAGCCCTTACCTCATCCCTCCCTCTACGCCGCAGCACCATGCAGCTCATCAAACTCAAGCACCCTGAAAACATCGCGGAACAGATCCACGAACTTCTTTGCTTCTGGAAAAAATCACTTCCAACCTCCACGGACAAACTTCGCCTCCTAGTTCGTCATCTCCGCAAGATGGGCAGGAGTGACCTTGCAGAAGACCTCAAATTCAAGTGGGAAAATAAAGTGTTCACGGAACCGCAGCAGTGGTTTGAGATGGCAGGGGAGTAACAGCGAGGTAGCTTCTCTTTTTGCCGTAGGAAAATGTTTATGGGTTATAAAGATCGGTTCTGTCAATTTGTATCAAGCAGTTTTCCAGTAACACTGACTGAATTGAGTCTATTTGAGGGATATTTGAAACAAAGGAGAAGCAGTAATCAGACAAGGAAAGGGTGGAGAACCCCTCACTGCTGAGGGGCGCCTTCTGTCAACCATGACTGCCTCGGGTTTCAGCCAGGCTCAATAACATTTGCAAAACAGTTTTCCCCATTTACATTTTAATAGTCAAGACTGTTTTCTAATCGCAAAGTACAGATATGATACACAGAGTCACTTTTTAATTATTATCAACATAAAACTAAACTAGTTATCTGCAGTCCAAGAATCCAGTTCAAGGTACATAGGTACCACAGGGCCTACAGATAACAACACAAAATAAATTGGGCTGATGTTGGTGATAGCAACTCACTTTAAAGAAACAGAAAAGCTCAAAATAGAATATTTCAACCACCAACTGTCACGAACTTTTGACTTACAAAAATGTAGGTTGGGGTAGGGAAATTTTCATATTTTGCTATTAGTGAAATGAAAAGGGGCAGAGAAAATAAAGTATAAGAATTCAAGGCCTCTTTCTACTTCAAAAGCAGTGTGCTTTGTAATCAATTAACAGAAACCTTATTACAGAGGCTTGTGCATTCGCCGTTAAAAATAAACTTGTAGAAAAACACAAACAAAACATTTCCTAAAACCCTCTATCCACGGATAATCCCTGTTAAATGCAAGCATTGAGTCTGGAAAATCCAAAGGACTTTGACTCTGCAGCAGTTTGAGAGAAATGAGACATATCACTACTTTCACCAATTCATCAGTGCAAAATCAACATGGCCTTGGCTTACAAACATCAGTAGCAATCAGTTTTGATTTTTAAATACCTAAAGATGAATAAAATTGCCTGAAAAATTAAACATTTTGACAACTTTCAAATTTAAAGGCAAGCTTTTTGTTTTACAAATTAACCACAGACTTGGCTATATATTTGGTTATGTGTTGAAAAAGGATATCCCAATTTCTAAACACATTTTGAAAAAGAAACATTTTATTACTTAAGATTTTTATTTTTTGCAAGTTACTCAAAAGATAGAGTGTATTTTCATGTGTTCTCGGAATGAAGAACACAGACTGAAATATTGATTGGTTTTCTGATTGCAAGGAAAATAAAAAGTAAATAAAATAAAATTTGACATTTATTTTGCCACTGAAGATTACTATTATGAATATTTCTATATATTTTCTTCCGATTTTTTCTTTCTTTTGGAAGGAAATATTTTATTTCCACATACATAGATGTACAGAAAAGCTCACACCATGTGTTCACATATACACACACTAGTCTGGATCCATCTCCTAATAATACTGTCTCACTTGCTTGTCTTCTCACTCACACAATCTCCTTCATTTCCCTGTACGCACACTCACTCATGCAAGCACACACATGCATAGATCCCTCCCACTTCCTCTCATAAGCACTCTTAAGCACACCTGCAAATAATTCACCTCACAGCCACACACCCACTGGGCACCCCTCCTGCACACCCTGCTTCCACTTTCACACATCCACACTTATCCGCATCCACACACCTTGCACACAGATGCAGCCTCAGATCTACTTGTACACTCTCATGCGTACTCATGCGAACAATGTCGCACATCTCCTACCCACATATACCCAACATCACACATACAGACCCCTCAGAGATATACACAGAACCTTAGGAATTTCCTGTATACCTTCACCTGCACACCTACATTCTCACAGAACACTACTTATCACATGCTCATGCCTACCCTTCTCAGATTCACATACATTTTGTTTTCATTAAGTTCATTGGTACTTTTCAGGTATACAGTACAGTTACATTCATCACTGGGGTCTTGTACCTTTACATGATGTATCTTGGTTCTTATTTTTTCCCCATCCCCCTACCCTACCTTCACACCCTCCACCATGTCCTGTTTACAAAGACTTTGTTTCCATTTTTTCCTTTTCTCATATTTTTTCTTTTACCTTCTTTCCTTCCCCCTCCTTTAGAACTTTTCTTCCTATTTCACATTATTAATTATACAATTTGAACCTTATTTACACTTTTAGTTTTTCACACTGGAGAACCTATTCAGTATTTACATGTGTGTCCTATTTATTTCACTTAACAGTATGGCCTCAAAGTGCATATATTAGCTATAAATGTCTCTGGTTTTTTGTTTTTTATGGCTTCCATTTCATAGAAGAACCACATCTTCTATATCCAGTCTCCAGTTGGTGGGCAATTTGGCTGTTTCCAAGTTTTACCTATTACAAACTGTGGTGCTGTAAGCATGGATTCAATATATCACTGTGGAATGATTCTTTTAATTCTTTTGGAAAGAAACCCAGCAGGGGGATAGCTGGGTCAAATGGAACCTCTAATCCAAGCTGTTTGAGGCATCTCCATATTGATTTCCACAGTGGTTGCACCAGTCTGCACTCCCACCAACAATGAAGAAGAGTTCCCTTCTCCCTACAACCCTGCCAGCATTTGTTATTGGTTGATTTGATAGCAGCCATTCTTTCTGGGAGGATGTGGAATCTCAGTGTCGTTTTCTTTTGCATCTCTGAATGACCAGTGATATTGAACATTTTTTTCATATATTTATTTCCTGCTTTTACTTCTTTGTCCGAGAAATATCTGTTCATTTCAGATGTTCTTTTTTGAGTAAGGTCTTTATATTTGGGGGTCTGATTTTTTTTGAGTTCTTTATATATTCTAGATAGTAGACCTTTGTCTGAGGAACAGCTGGTAAAATTTTTTTCCCACATTGTAGGTCATCTCTTAGCTTTGTTCGTGGTTTTTCTTGCAGCCGCAGAAGCTTTTTAAATAAGATGAAATTCCAGTTGTTGATTTTTGAGCTACTTCCTGTGCTACTGAGGATTTCTTAATAGTTGTTTTCCTATCCCAATGTCTTTGAGAGTTCTACCTAACTTATCTTCCAGCAGGTTTAGTGTTTCTATTTTAATATTTAGATTTTTAATCCACTTCAATTTTAGTTTAGTAAATGGTGAAAGATAGGGATCTAGTTTTAATCTTTAGCAGGTTGAAATCCAGTTTTTCCAACACCATTTATTGAGGAGGCTGTCTTTGTTCCAGTGAGGATAATTGGATTTTTTGTAGTATATTTTCAAGTTTGAGATTGTGATGATACCTGCTGTGGTGTCTCTGTTACCTACAATTGCTTTTGCTATTCCAGGTCTTTTTTGTTCCAAATGAATCTTTCAATTGTTTTCTCTAGTTTCATGAAATATACTGTTGGGATTTCTATCAGGATTGCATTGAATCTGTATAGCAGTTTTGGAAGTACGGCCATTTTCACTGCATTGGTTGTTCCTACCCAGGAGAAAGAGATATCTTTCCATTTTCTTATATCCTCTTCAGTCTCTTTTTTTCAGAGTGCTGTTGTTTTCAGTGTAGAGGTCTTTTGCTTCCTTTGTTAGATTGATTCCTAGATATTTCATTGTTTTGGATGCTATTGTAAAAGAAATTGTTGACCTAATTTCTCTCTCAGTGAGTCTGTTATCTATTTATAAGAAGGCTACTGATTTTTGAGTGTTGATCTTATATCAAGCTACTCTGCTGAATCTATCATTTAAGTCTAGCAGTCTTTTGGCAGAATTTTTGGGGTCTTTTTGTAGAGTATGATATCATCAGCAAATAATGACCTTTTAACTTCTTCTTTTATTATCTGTATTCCTTTAATTTCTTTCTCTTGTCTAATTGATTTGGCTAATATTTCCAGAACTACATTGAACATGAGTGGTAATAGTGGACATCCTTGTCATGTTCCTGATTTTAGCATTGTTTTCAATTTTTGACCAACTAACATGATGTTGGCTATTGGTTTTTCATAGATAGTCTTTATCAAGTTGAGATAAAGACCATCTATTCCAATTTTCTGCAGGGTTTTTATCATGAATGTGTGTTGAATTTTTTCGAATTTTTTTCTGTATCTATTTTTTTCTCTCATTGAGTTTATCAGTACATTTTAGGTAAACAGTACAATTACATTCATCATTGGGATCTTGTACTTTTACATGACAGGTTTTAGTTCTCATTTTTTCCCCTTGTACCTGCCCTCCCTTCACCCCCTCCTCCCCTCCCCATTTACAAACACTCTGTTTCCATTTTTTCATTTTCTCATATATTTTTCCCTTATACCTTTCCCCACCCTTCCCACTTTCCCTACACCTTTAGCCCTTTTCTTCCTATTTCACATTGTCCATTATAGCATTAGGATCTTAAAGATCTATTGAGATGATCATATGGTTTTTGTCCTTGACTTCATTAATATAGTGTATTATATTTATTGATTTATGAATGTTGAAGCATCCTCACATCTCTAGGAATAAATCTGACTTGGTCAGGGGGTATGATCTTCCTTATGACCCTCTGTATTCTGTTTTCCAGTATCTTACTGAGGATTTTTGCATCTTTGTTCATTAGGGAGATTGGCCTACAGTTCTCTGTTTGGTTGGGTCTTTCCCTGGTTTGGGAATCAGAGTAACACTTGCTTCTAGGAATACATTTGGAAGTATTGCTTCTCTTTCAATTTCATTGATAAGTTTATAGAGTAATGACAACACTTCTTCTCTAAATGTCTTATAGAATTCAGCAGTGAAACCATTAGGGCTTATCTTTTTTGTTAAATTTTTAATTATGTTTTCAATTTCACTGATTGTAATTGGGTTTTTTAGAATTTTTATATCTTTTTCATTCAACTTTGGTAATTCATAAGTATCTGGAAATCTGTCCATTTCTTCTGTGTTTTCCATTTTATTAGAGTACAGTTTCTCGAAGTAGGTATTGATGATGCTCTGGATTTCTGCTGGATCTGTTGTGACTTCATCTTTTTTGTTCCTAATTGCATGGATTTGGGCCTTTTCTTTCCTT